CACTTGCAATTTGGCCACAAATTATGTTTATTGGACAGGGAAGCCCAGGCCAGATCCTCGTGTAGATTTTTCGGATCTAATAAAAGAATGCTGTAGTCTTCTCATAATTTTGTTGTGCTCCTACATGTGATTTTATTGAAACAGTGTTGGAAAGTTTCTGGGACCAAGTCAGCAACTTAAAAGTGGTAAATTATGCTGCTTCTGTTCTCCAGATCACTAAAACTTCTGAAATGAGTAAACACAAAAAGTTGACAAGAATAAGAAATTGTTTGCCGTCAACTATATGTGCATAAAGTGGGCTTAACTGGCAATGCACTTTGGTGTCATGATAGCTTTTTTAGAGTCTGCCCAGAACAAGAAATGAGATGACTCCACTCATGGAAAGAGTATCTGTAGCATTGACTCAAATGAACCCTGTTGTTTTCTTGAGACATGTATTTTATTTCTTCATTGAAATACACAAAAAATGACTTGTGTCAACAAACCTATGTATCCGGCCACATGACCATTAATTGCTGTATGTAGTTGACAGTTTTTTGTTAGTTTTGAAATATTATTCGTTTCTTTGTATTAACACTTATTATGCCATAAAATTCTGAAAATATGCCAGCGTTAGTAGTATGCATGAAAGTGGCTCTGCCTACGCTAGGTGTAATGATTCCATGCTCATCAGTGCACCTTGAGCAACTTTTCAGCGTGTTCATGCAATCGTGCACGCAGTTTTCAGGTTGCTAAGGTTTTAGAGCGACACAGTTCTGCTGCCTACTATTTGTCTCGTAAATGATGTGCACTTCTACTGAACACAGCCGTGCATATGCATAGTGATGTTTTCGGTCACTTGGCTTGTGTATCAAGAAAGCAACGACGCCCGGACAAGCTGCCCATTACACAGGCATAGATAACCTTGGGCACATGAGCACACAACACACGCGATATAAATACAGGAAAGGTGTATAAAGCCACATCACCTCACTGAAACGGCTTTATTTTCGAAAATAGTTGAAAAGCTCTAAATTAAAGTGGTTAAGCATATTTAAAAAACTCCTGTGGAAGGAGAATGACAACAGCTTTGACAAATTGCGAGAAAGGCTGGTGGAATGACTATTTTCAGCGTTGCTGGAAGAAAGATACATCTGTGTTTCAGATAGAAAAATAGTGCTTGTAAAATAACTACTTGTTTTGGGGTAACTACTGCAGTTACAAACACAACGGTGAGCTTTCTGTCATGCTATAAAAAAATAAGTCGAGAAAAATTAGTTCTTAGTTCCTTTCACATCAGCAGGATTCAATCGAATACACTGGATCCTTTAGAGACTAAGGTTGTGGATAGGCAAGAGTGATGTGGTATTAGTCATAAAAACATTGATTGTACTGGCACCAACATTATTTACCATATTTCCTTACCACTTGGTGTTGCATACATTGGTAAACGGGCCAATGTATCAACACTATTCTTAGAGAGCACCAAACAGCATTGAAAAAAATTCGGCAGATTCAATGTACCTTGGGAATCAATGTTATGCGCAGCTTGCAGAAGGAAGGTGACTCTGTTGCAATATTGCATTGAGCGAAATGTTATGGAAATTATGCTAAAGATATGTACATGCATGAGCAATAGTGTACTGACTATGGGATCATGTGCCCTGATTCATCGATGCACCATTTAGCTATGAGACGCCTGCTTCGCTGGTGCGGTGCGCAGGCGCATCTAGTCGTATCAGTTGGGCCTTAATGTCACTTTCTCTGACTTGGTTACGGCACTCGTAGCGGGGACGACAACTGGGCGTCGCTTGCTTTGCTTCATTAAATTTGTGCTGTTCCTTTTTTTTTTTTTTTCGTAACGGCTCTGGCGGGGTGGATTCCAACAAGTAAACAACGTTAGATTTTCTCAACTCTCCTTGCCTTTGTCAGGTTAGACCAAATTCAACTTGAATGAGTCTTGTTAAGTCAATGTTAGTGTAGCCGAATATAATCAAGTCTAATTGAGTGCAGTATCGCGTCAAGTCAGACATAAGTAAAATTATTTAGGGCCAGTACAGCTTGCTGTTCTTATGGTAAGAGTAGTAAGGCTTCAGTGCACCCAGGTGCATCTAGAAATGTACATGTACAGCCAAATCTAATTAAGCATAGTTGATCATTTTGTCATTTCATTTAGCAGAGTAAAATTAGCCCAAATAAGGAAAACCTTACTGCGGCCATTTATTCCAAGTCTACTTCGCTATGAGCACAGAGAAGCCAAACCCAGGAAGATTTTAATTACCCCTTACTGACTATAAGTCCCATTTATGTCTGTTTAGTGTTAAGTCATGTACTAATTATGGCTGATTTATTAGCCTGGTATCTCATCAAATACCCAAGATTCTGAAGTTTCATGACATCATTAGGATACTTATGCATAATTAAGCTAATCAGCAGTGCCACAGTAAGCATAGATAAATCTGACTGAGCGTGGTTGATCATGGCATCATCAAACTAATCTGATTTTAATTAGTTGTAATCAAGCAACTTCTCAATAAACACAAAAAGTAACTGCCATTGAATTTTCATTGGCTCAGAAAATCTAAGCTGAGGAAGATACTAATTACTCTGGACCGAGTATAGTCTCGCTGAGCTAAATAAATCTAATTTGCCTTTAGAATAATGATAAAAGTTACTTAATTTGCATAACATCAAAGCCCACCCGAGGTACATGAGATTGATGTCGCTGAATCATTCAAATGTTCCTAATTGAGAAATCTTTAGCTATATAGGATGCTTTGGGGAGTAGATATGTTTAATGCATAGTAATTATTCACGCAAAATTACGCAGGGCAAGCATCCAGTAAAATTCTAGTTTTCTTTTGTCCGAAATGTACATCAAAATATCTAGATTACGATATTGGGAAACGTGGCAAAATATGTGCCATCAAGAAACTGCACTGAGGACGCGCTTTTACCTTTGCTAACTTCCATGCAACTTGCATCTACAAAGGCAAGCTGAGCTGAATTTTGTGTGCTTGAATTCATCAGGTTTGCAATGCCAGCTTCGCTTAGTTATGCTAATTAACTGGGATAAATAATGATGTGAGCCCGGCACTGAAACACGTTTCATCGCAGCCACTACGTAAAAAATATATATATAATGGCACAAGTTTGATGGAGCAAGGAAAGCGACACCCAGTTGTCATTTTGACTATGAGCTCCGTAACCTCATCAGAAAGAAACATGAGGGGCCAACTGATACAACGGGGATGCATGCAGCAGGCGTCTCTTCGCTAAATAGCACAATAATGTCTTCGGCCATGCAATCCCGTAGTCTGCACACTTTTGATTACGCCTGTACAAATGTTGTACACACGGACTTATGTTGAACATAATGTAACTGCACAAAAAATCGACGAAAACACTAAAGAAGAGATTTCTATACTGCTTTTATATTGCCTCGTTCTTGCAATAAAGCTTCAGTTGATAGCGAGCGCTTGCCTGACCTTTTCTTTCCATTAGTGTTTTCATCTGTTTTTTGCGCAGTTACATTATAAATCATTACCAACTCAGAAGTTCATTTTAGAAGCTTACCATGCTTCTGAAATGTTGAACGATCACACATATTTTTATAGCCAGTTATTTTACAGTTACGTAACGATGCCAACTGTAACATAGGTATTAGCAACATCAGAAACGATAAGCTGATATGTAGCGCTTGTTCTCACAAGGATGGTAGCCTTTGACACTGCTGCATTGAACAAACTCACTGGATGGCGCTTAACTACAATCGCCATTAACCTGACATGATGGCTGTATAATAGGAATACATATATAATGTTTATAAAATTTGGTAACTAGCACTGCAACTACAAACGATATTTTACAAATTTAAGCGTCTATTTGATCAGCATTTATGAAACCTGACACTGCTCTGTGGTAGAATAACCTGATTGTCACCCAGAAGTCCAGATTTGATTCCCATTTCGACCCACAGATTTATTATTTGCATTCATCAAGTGAACACCGCCAATTTCAACTTTTCCTAACACTCTCTCATTAAAATTACCGATGCCTATTCTTGCTGTTCCTGGGTAGATATAAACAGTCAATCACCTGTGGTCCATTCACCCATGGTATATATGGGTATGTGACACTTGTTCTGCTGAAAGGGTTTGACAATGTAGACGACAGGATTGTCACGTTATTGATGTCGTGACCAGCAAGTTGTATTTGTCAAAGCATCTTACCCTTCCATACTAATTTTGGTTTACCCCACGTTATGGGGGTGGTCACGAGAGCACCCATGCGTAGGCAGCTAGATAGACACTAAAAGTGCCTGCAATGCACAAAGTAATGCTTCACATTTAATAAAATAGACATACTCATATGAATGTGCACTGCAGGAAGTGTAAATGCTATCCCGTGCTAACTCGTATGAACATGACAAATAAACATAAAGACAGCGCAGTGTGTGATAATAATGAAGCACGCCACATCAATAAAGAAGGCAGTAAATGTATCAGGCAAACAACCAGTCACAAGTTTTCATATGACTATCAGGCATGACTTGGTATGAGTATTGAGGTTTTGCTTTCGATGCACCTTGTTTTACATGGCTTCTCTGCATCAATGTATGTGTGCCTAGTTATTCATACAGATAAAGGCGGAAGAAGCTAAGGCACACAAGCTGCGAGGCACAGCACTGTTTTCGCAGATGCAAATTGGGATCAACGAAGTCAGTGGCACTGTGTCCCATCGTTAGTGTGTCATACCTTTTTTTTCTCATCTTTTTTGTGCTTTGACAAAATAAGCCAATGCCAACTAGCTCAGTTTTCAGCACCAACAAGTGTATAGAAGTTCAGTTGTAGGTCTGTGTTTCTGTGTTCATTGTTTACTCTCTCCTAGTGTGTTTTTGCATGATTGCAAGATGAATAACAGTGTTGCATTCTTGCATGCTATGAATTGTCATGTGCATACACTACTATTCTTTTCCCCCTTGCATCTTATCTAAATTTTATCGAATTTTACAAGCGTAGGTTCTGATTTCATCAGTGATGAAGATGAAGACTTCAGCCCTGGTGACTTGGAAGTGAGGAAAAGGGCGTCCCCCGTGCGGCTATGCAAGTATAAATACAAGTGGGTACTTCTGCATTCTGCATTTTCGTCTCACTTGAGTTTGTATCAGGTTACCCTCCTGAGATATAGCAAAAGGTTTAGCTCACGTCTAGTGTGCACTGTATAGACCAAGTTACCTTTGCCTTCTACCTGCTTGCACAGAGTCCATTGGCACTTGGGGCATAGCCAGGAGGGAGGTGGATGTTAGAAAGGGTTCAAATTCCTCCCCACCCTCAAATTTTTCAACTTTTATAGCGCCACTCTTCCCCTTCTTTTTTTTCGAAATCTGACGTTAGCGTCGACAGGGTGCATCAGGTCTTTGGAAACCTTAAAAACCACTGAATTTGAAAAGTGGATTTCCAAAGCCCTTGAAAGTCCAGAAATTTTTTTTTCCCATCCTTGAAAATCCTTGAATTTCGTGAGCACTCCCAATCCACATTGCGGCCTCTTTTATGAGGTAGATCAGCATACCTGACAAGTATCCCAAATTTTGACCAGTTTTCACGTTTGTACGGTTGTTTCAGCACAGAGAGATGAGTGCCGGAGGAAGTTGGCTTTATGAGACTGGCTAAATGACGTTATGTTAAGCCCAGCAGTATAATTAGTTAAAAAAATTAACCTTTTATGTCCTAAGAGTCGTGCAAAAGAAATCCAATTGTGACTGTGTGTGTCTATAGTGTTGTACGTCACAGGTTTGTCTACCATATATACTGATAACCTCTTAAGTGTATAGAATGTTATTTCATGAAGTACAATTTTATTCAACCAGTATTCTGTTTATTTGCTACGAAAATAATCATTGAACAAGTTTTTTCAGATTGACCAACAACATGATGCCATTATTTTTGCATCATGAACTGAAATAGGGAGTGCTCCTAAGATGACTGGCTTCATGAGATTTGAAATGAGTGGAAACATTTCTAGTTCTCAACACAAGACAAGAGCCCCATAATTTTTCATGCCCTTTAATGTAAATGCAACTTGCTTCTCCCCCAGGATGTAAAGTTAGCTGCTCCAGGTTGCTCCAAAATAACAACTTTCGCTGCTCCAAAGTGCTCCAAATTTTTTGCGGCTCCAAGAATTTCTCCAAATCAGAAGACTTCAGTGGCATCACTGAAGTTCTTCAATGAAACGCTAGGAAACTTCCTTAAACGATTTCCCTCCGAATTCTGGCATTTTTTGGGAGCAGTTAAATCGTAAGTAAACCAGATAAGTATAGGAGATACTCCTGTGATAGATACACAACAGATAGCCGATTGTTCCAACGAGTTTTTCATTAACTCTTTAATAGAGATGCACAACGCTCGGTCGCAGACGAGATAAACTATTTCTGTCCATACTCTATGAAGCCTCTTTCGTTTCATCAGGAGGGCGTGTTTGAACAACTGTTGAACTTAGATACAGCCTGGCGCGGTGGTCTAGTGGCTAGGGTACTCGGCTGCTGACCCGCAGGTCGCAGGATCAAATCCCGGCTGTGGTGGCTGCATTTCCGATGGCGACGGAAATGTTGTCGGCCCGTGTGCTCAGATTTGGGTGCACGTTAAAGAACCCCAGGTGGTCGAAATTTCCAGAGCCCTCCACTACGGCGTCTCTCATCATCATATGATAGTTTTGGGGCGTTAAACCCCACTAATCAATCAATGAACTTAAATACATAGAAACCCTGTGTCCCCGACAGAATACCAACGGCATTTTTAAAGCGATACGCCGAGTAGGTGTCTTTCTATGTGATAAATATTTTTGAACAGTCATTACGTAACCATTTCGTTCCACAAGATCGGTGTTGGGCTGCTATAATACCCGTGTTTAAAAGCGGAAATCGCATGCATCCAAACAACTATTGCCCTGTATACTTAACTTATGTATGCTGCAAGATCATGGAGCACGCAATCGCTAAACACATCAATCATTTTCTGGAAACAAATAAGCTGCTTTGCACCAATCAGCATGGTTTCACAAGGGGCCTATCTATAGTTACACAATTTATCGAAACAGTTCACAACTTTTCGTGGGTTTTGGTTGAACACCAAAAAACTGATGTACATTTCATTGATTTTAAAGAAACGTTTGACAAAGTTTCACATGGTAGGCTGCTTTATAAGCTGCATCAGATTGGTATCAATAGTTAAGTTTTAAAATAGATTGAAGCTTATCTAACATGGCGGAGGCAAGTGGTGCGGAATAATAACTCCGTTTCAAGCTTGTTTCAAGCTTTTTGGGTGTTCTTTTCGGGGTACCACAGGGGTCAGAGCTAGGCCGTTCATTGTTTTTGTTTTATGTCAATCATGTAGCCACAGTTGTTCAGCCGCCAGCGGTCTTGACTGTTTACAGATGACCGCTTAATTTATGCTCCAGTTATCTCTGAAATAGATCAGGAAAAAATTAACCAGCATCTTCAAGCTCTCCATCCATAGTGCGAAAAATGGGGCACGGAAATTAAGTACAGCAAAACCACTTTTGCGCATAGTACCCGAAAGAAAAAGTTGTCGATTTCCAGTATCGTAGGGGCAGTGCGATTTCGACAAAATGTTTCTTAGCTTAAATATCTAGGCATTGTGATATTACATGACCTAAACTGGCGCAGCGACATTTAATATGTTTGTTGTTCGTCATATATAAAGCTGCGTTTTTTTTAATGAAACAACGAAACTCAACCAATGACGTTAGACTGTCTAAAGTATGCTGCCGTAGTTTGGAGTCCCCACCGAAAGGGCTAATAAATGAGGTGGAAAGAATCCAAAGACTTGCAGCCAAGTACACATGGTTATGATGAAAGATGTTTATTTGAAGATGGGCTGATGGAAAGAGGCTGAATAGCTGTCGCCCTGCACCGATCCACTCGCAAGACAAGTGTTCTTCGTTCTCCTCTTTTCTGTTCTTCGTGGGGGGGAGGAGCATCCCACTCCTCCCCCCCACAGACGAAGCCCGCCAGCCGAGTAACCGCTATGTGAACGTGGAGTCGCGCTTTAGGCGCGCGACGTGTGCAAGTTGCATGTGCCAAGAACGGTAGCCGTGATTGAGGAGAGATGAGCTATCAAGTACGTCAGGTCACTGAGCCGGTCGACGATGACGAAGGGGCCTGTATAACGAGCCAGAAACTTTTGACACAGGCCACGTTTGCGAAATGGCGTCCAGAGCCAAACTATGTCGCCTTTGTTGTGAGAAATGTCCTTGTGTCATGAATTGTAGTTGATCATGGAGCGGTCTTGGGATGCCAATGTACGAAGTCGAGCTACACGCCGTGCTTCCTCTGCGCAGCAGATTGTCTGAGCAATAGCAAGGTCCGCATGAGTATGGAATGGCAGAATGGTGTCAAGGTAGAATCGGGGCAGTCGAACGTAAAGGAGGTAGAAGGGGCTGCAGCCAGTGACTTTATGTCTCGCCAAGTTGCAGGGGTTTATATTCAAGGGGAGGATGTCATCCCGATTCTTGTGTCTTGAATTGACGTACATAGAAATCATATTGGTGGGCATTCTGCTCGTGCGCTCCACGAGACCATATGTCTGTGAATGATAAGGGGTCGCGTGGAGAAATTGACAATCACGGAGATGCAAGAGCTCTTCCACCACATCGGCAATGAACTGGCGTCCACGATCACTCACAATAATGCGAGGGGGTCCATGGCGAAGTATGATTGTCGACGGAAGGAAGCTCGAAACATCCATTGCCATGGCTGTTGGCGTAGCGGCGGTCTCTGCACAATGCGCCAGGTGATCAACACAAATGATGACCTAACAGTTACTGTTTGATGAGCGCGGGAAAGGGACGACGAGGTCCACTCCCACCGTTTCGAAAGGTGTTGAGGGTGGTATCGAAGGGCAAGGAAGTCCGATCGAGGCAGTGTTCGGGCGCTTGAATTGTTGGCATTTGTCACAAGTGGACGTGGCCACACATTTTTCTATATTCTTTCTCATTCTAGGCCGGTAGATTTTACCCTGAATGTGGTGATACGTTTTGGCAAAACCCATGTGTCAGGGGGTCCCGTCATCATGCATAGCATGGAGCACGTCTTGTCGCAACTTTGTAGGGACCACTAATAGTAAGTGTGCGCCATCAGTCGCGTAATTCTTTATATAGAGCAGGTCATCTTGCATAACAAAGCCATTGTTGTTTGTCGGCTGAGCAGCTGAGTCCAAAAAGGCGTCTAGGGTACGGTCGTTTCGCTGTTCTTTCCTGAAGGTGGCGAGGTCGGGGAAACGTGTATTGTCAATGGAGGCTAGGAATTCATCAAAATTGACGGCGTAACTTGTAGTTGTGGGTTGTCGTATTTGCGTAAGACAGTCGGTGTCGCCATGCTGGCGGCCACTCTAGTAACAGACCCCAAAGTCAAACTCCTGCAAGCGTGGTGCCCACCCGAGCAAGGCGACCAGGTGCGTCACGGAGACCAAGTAACCAACATAGTGAATGATGGTCGGTAACAAGCGTGAAGTGATGGCCATAGAGATATGGGTGGAACTTCTGCACTGCAGAAACTACAGCTAGACACTCTTGCTTCGTTACAATGTAATTCTGTTCGGCCTTGCTCAACGAATGGCTGGCGTAGGCAATGGCATGCTTGGCATCGCCAGAACTCTGAATGAGGAGGGCACCGAGGCCAATTCTACTTGCATCAGTGTGCTTTTTCGTTGTGGCAGAAGGGTCGAAATTGTAGACTATAAGTCCAGAAGGTAGTATGAACTTTAGCTGCCAAAACGAAGATTCGCAATCCGTTGTCCAGCTGAAAGGTGTGTCTTTGCGTAGCAACGAGGTCAGAGGGTATGCAGTGTCGGCAAAATTGGGTACAAAATATTGGAGGTACGAGCGAAGACCTAAGAATCTTCTTAACTCGCATTACGACTGTGATTGCCTAAATTTTCTCACTGCTGCAACCTTCTGTGAGTCTGGTCGTACGCCGTGCTTGTCCACCAGATGCCCAAGTACTAGCGCCTTTAGTTGGCCAAACTGGCATTTCTTTGAGTTCAGGGTAAGGGCATCCTGTTTGAGCGACGTCGAAACAAGGTCAACTTGCTGATTGTGTTTTG